CAGAATCTAGCCAAAATCGTTATGAGAACCTAGATACTGATGTCATACGTCTCACAAATCAAAGTACTCGTTCAACACAGAATTTTTCTTGTAGCAATTTTTCAATGTACAGCATGCAATGGAAGAGAATACATTGTATTTATACCTATTACACCCAGTCGATGTGGTAGTTTTCGCAGTTTGGACAGGGATTTGATTCCTCGCGCAAATGATTGATCGTCACCAATAGCCTAATAGAGTAGCTCAAGAGTGATGCTTACAACCGAAAAACACATATAAAAATTAATTTAAAAAGAAATATTTGGTTAATTCTGTGCTTTAAGATACGGTAGTTTATTTTCTCCCCATTATTGTCAGATGCAGGGTTTTATAAATATAAGGCCGAAAGACTAATTCCACGAGTAACAGCTACATCAGGTATAGGTTTTTCTAGCACATCTTACACTAATCTTTACCCCCATAGCTTCCTGTCAACAGTTGTAGTCTTCAACTGGCTGTGTGATCTTCTGTTAGTTATTGCGATATAATTTCCTTGATTGTTTGGCAACAGTTTCTACTTTGTAGTTCCTTGGTATGAACTGGCTGTGTAATTCATATCACATGTTCTAAAATTTATTGCAATTACACTCCATCCCCATATTGCCTTGTAAACAGTTCCAGTGCTTTAACTAGTTAAATGATTTATGGCAAAATATCCGAAAAAAATCACATTGTCTCTTCTTGTTTCACATCTTCAACTATTTGTTATTTTATCTATTATACATATCTTGTTGCAATATTAAATCAAAGGACCCTTTTAAATCCTTTCGGAAAGAATAAAATTTCCTCGAACAGTCAAATAATTTTAGCTTCAGAGAAAAGCAAAACGTAAACTAACTCAATACTACTAATAAAGAAGTAGTGTATGATATTAAGTATTCCAAACTACAGTTTTTTATTAAAAATATAAATTATTAAAATACTTTTAATTTAAATTATATCAATTTGATACATTAAACAACAATTAATTGAGATAAGTACCGCTAAAAATATAGTTTGGAGAACTGAAATTGTAAGTATTAAAGTTGTTTTAATGATGGGTTGTAACAAATGTACTTCTACTTCAATTTAAAAAAAACTAATTTTAAAAAGTATCAAGTATATACTTTGAGTAAGTATATACTTATTCAAAGTATATTTAAGATGACGAATAACAATTGATTGACGCATTTTCAAAAATATAATTTAGAAAACTCACAGTATAATTATGAAATTCTTTTAAAAAAGGATATTAAATGTGGACTTTCACTTTATTTTTAAATAACAAATTTCAAAAATTTTTAAAATTTTTCTTTAGTTTTCGGGTTTAATTGATAAAATTTCTGCACAAAATTTAGCTTCAAAAAAGACATTAAAAATCGTAAATTTAAAAAAAAATATATCTTTGCATTAAAACTAATGAAAACTGAAGTTTGTCATTGGGTATTGACATTTTCATTAATATAATAGTAAAGATAATCAATTTCACTGGAAACTTTGTCTTAATTTGCTCAAGATTAAATTTTTATCCTTATAAAATATTATTTTTCGAATTTCATACCTTATTTTGCATAATTTAAATTTTTCCTCCTAAAAATTTGACATAAACTGTATGCGATTATTTAAAAGATTGTTAGGGATTGTTGTGCTAAAACAATTAGTATAACAAAGCATTTAATAATCATTTAAATCGCAATAAAACATTTTGGTGAGATTTAAGTGCATAATTTAGAAGAAAAAAAGCATCAAAAGTGATTTTTTTATTTTTTTATCAAACGTTGTTAAAGCATTAATGTTTAACAAAAACTGATCCCTTTGTCAAATTATGTTCCTGGCATCTGTTGAGAAAATGAGATGATTTTCTGTTGACGATTTTCAATTGACATTGTGGACACAAGCTATAATTTTTGTATTTTTTTCCCATCGTCACATATTTTTATAGGCGTTTGATTGGAAAGAGAAAAACGCAGGACAATCAATAATAAATTGAAGATCGTTACTAAATCAGGGATAAAGCTGTTGGCAACGAATAGCGGGATATCCTGACCAACAGCTACAATCTGAAGTGATTTGGTACAAATTTTGTAGAATTAATCGATTATGATATATTTCAACCCTTAAAAAGGCCCTTTTTTCTAGTTATGTTAAAATACTTTTGGTAATGAAATAAACTCTATAAAAAATGATCAAAGGAAAGAGCGTATAAAATACAAAAGAAAATATATTCCAGTGTTGGCTACTTTTCTTGACCCTACTCTAGCTTTTACTACATTGACCCTAAATTGATGTAAACAAAGTTCTTGAGCCGTGGTGGCTCAGGGGATAGAGCGTTCACCTTCCATTCAGGCGAACCGAGTTCGAATTCCAGCGATGCCTTGTCAATGCGAACTCCGCACTCGGCTTGCACCGATCACAGTGCTGACGTAAAACATCCTCAGTGGTAGACGGATCATGGGTTAGAGTCCTCTTGTCGTCAGGCTATNGGGGGGGGGGGAGGGGAGGGTTCTTCTCAATGCAATGCAAATGCGGGTTAGTTCCATCGAAAAAGTTTCCACGGAGGCAAATTTTTCCCAATGCTAGATCCAGGAGTGCCCTTGTCTTCTGGATTGGGTTCAAAACTACAAGGCTACTGAGTTGAACATTAGAAGTCGTAAACCCATAATTGGGTCAGCTGTACAATAACGGTTATAAAACAAAGTTCTTAACAAATATTTTTTCTTGTATTTGGCGACACAAGTCATTGGTGAAAAAATAGTTTCACATCGACGTTTAAAAATGAATTAATTTGTTGGTATGTATACTTATAAAAGGCCTTATAAAGGTTAAAAAATTTATAAATTTACTAAGAAATTTTGTATCAGTTTAAATAAGGAAAAAACTTCCAAAATTTTCATTTTAAAAGTCGCGTGATACTTATATAAACAAATTTCAAATAGTTAGTGAATAGTTTATGTAACAGAAGAAAAAAAATGCGATGTCGTGACTTGCTGAACGCCATTTTTGTTGTGTTTTAGGGTGTGTCTAAGTTATGTTCTGTGCATTTTATTAGAGTGATTAAACAGAATTCACATTAGTTATAAATGGCATGTGTTTCGCTTATTTCTGCGTACAAACTGCCAACTTAATTTACCGTCATGTGGAATAAACATTATGGAAATACTCTATTTTTTATAGATTCGAAAAGGTAACGCAAATTAATTTCCATTTAACTATATGTATGATTAATAAAATTCTTTATATAAAAAAAAACAAGCTTAAATTCGTAAATAAAGTGATGATACAGAGGATGTTGCCTCCTAATAATTATATAAATTAGAAATAAATTGGAAATGCCTCCAACCATGTACCTTCACTGCAAAGCTAAGTTTAAATCGGATTTACTCTGTTGTCCTCGATAATTTAACATAGACAACTGCTTCGCACATCGACAAAGGTGGTCGCAAAAGGGAAAAGAATCGACCATCAGTGTCTGCTAGTTCAGCGTTGATGTTGTTTTCCCTGTGTTCGTTAGTTTGGTGCCTTCTGCTATTTCGATAAGAGGGATAGTTAGTTGCTGTTTGATGATTTGGTGTTTAATATTACAATTGGAAGCTTCAGTCATTTCATTTCTTATATTTCACGGTTTAATTTTGATTTTTGAGGATTTGGAGTTCATTATTGCAATTTGAAGCTTCAATTACTCAATTTCTTATATTTCAGGGTTTCATTTTGATTTTTGACGATTTGGTGCTTATTATTGAAATAGGAAGCTTCTATCATTCCATTTCATATATTTTTGCTTTTGTTTATTTATTTTTATTTATATATTTTTTTGTTCAAAGATTCTATTATTTACATTATATTGGGAATCAGTGAATTTATAGCATTGAATTGTAAGGGAAAAAATGAAGAACTATTCGGCCGATTTCGTTCAAAATTTGTATTTTGCCATGCAAAATTACATTCTTTAAAATGGTGTAAAAAATTATATACCTAACATTTTAAATTTTTTTCAACTAATATTAAATAAAATATTAAAAATAATAAATATTTATAAGAAGTTATTTTTTGCATGGAATTATTTTTGGATGAATGAAGTTTATAATTGTGTGTAAAAATGTTTTCAATTCGCTTAAAAAGTTCTCGAGACTCAAAACGTAACATTAAGGGGATAATACTTTAGACCGCTTTCCTAACCAAACTATCGGGACCATGTTTTCCAGATTGCGACCATTTAAACCGCTTACGACATGCTTATACCATAGTAACTTCGAAAGACATGAAACTTAAATTCCAACGTTAAACACACAAACTTAAAATCTGGTAATTTGAGAAAAGCTATTAGCTTGGGCACATTAAACACAGAATAACTTTAATACTTGTTCTCGTTTTAAAGAATGGATAAATAATCCAATGAATATTAAACAAAAAAAATGAGGGAATCGTTATATTTTTGTAGAGTTCTATGAAAAAATTCATCAGTAATTAAATGTCTTGTTTACATCATTGTGAACTGAAATAAACATCATAGTTCATCAAGTTGCTTGTTAATATCATAGAGAAAATATGGAGATTAATGCGAAGAGAAAAAAAAATTACTAAAATAAAATATATTTAGATAAAAAAAAATAAAAAAAATAATAATAAAAAGCTGAAAAACAAAAGTATGAAAAGAAGTAATTTCTTCATCTTGTTCATCACTCGAGATTATATCTTTTCATATTTTAGTTTTCCGGCTTTTTAATGTTATTTTTAAAAAATATTTTCTTTCAATAATCTTTTTCTTCTTCTTTTTTCATTACTCTTTGATATTTCAAGCTTATTTTATGAGTTCTATATACTTGCAGCTGAGATGCGTAGTAAATAAAACTTACTAATTTTCTTAATTTTCTTCGTTTTTCTCTTAGCATTATCATTTCTTTTTATCATTTTTGTCTCATTTGTATACATATATATATATATATATATATATATAGTATACCGAGACCGAGTAATTAAACCGGTTCTTTTAAATATTTTTTTCAATTAAAATTTTTTCACGGATTTGTATTGTTGTGAGGGCGGATAGGAAAACTGCTTCAGTAACACTATTTAAAAAGCTTATTTTCATAAATAATTTTAAAAAATGAAATTTTCTTTGCAATCAGAAGAGTAAAGCTCGCTTATTTAAAACCATTTTAACCACCTTTCTGCAAATATTCTATGCAATACATTCTATTATAAGAAGAAAAGGAAGACTGATTGATGAAATTGTAGTTAAAAACAAACTAACTAAATATACGATTCTATATTATTGTATATTATTGCTGTTTGCTCTTTTCATATTCAATTGTATCCTCCATTTTTACAAACTCTTTGGGTTTTTTTCTTGTCAGTGAATCTTTTCTTCTTTGAGCTTCTGGTTGTCTCAAAACTAAAACGGGTGTTTTTTCATTCTGCCGGGGTTTGACTAACCGAATCAATTGTCCAATCTGTTCATCTACTCGACTTATTTTAGTATTAAGTCTCTGCATTTCTAATTTTAAATCAACTCTTAAATCTACTAAATTAGCGAGCAACTTTTGATAATCGGCAGATGTTTCTAATTCTTCTCCTCGTGGAGGAATTTCCTCTTCGATTGTTGGTTCTTTGGCCAATATGCGAGACCATTTGGAAAAGGAACGGTTACCTGTCCTTTGAACGGTATTTTCTTTATCATCTCCTGGATCTTTAGTGACTGTCCACTTGGTTGACTGACACTTAATATCACCGCTTTCAGTTACTTGTGCAAGTCTCGGACTCACCGTTGGACCTTTTTCGACATCAGGGGTGGTCCTATCGTGAGAGCCATTTCTACGAAATTTTGAGAAAATTTTTCTCACCAAATGATCTTGAGATAGTTCTTGTAAAGGCTCATTTTTTCGTCTCTCTGCTAGTTCTCTCTCCCGTTTGACATCCGATACTTTGCGAAAGATCAGCTGAAACGGAACTAAAAATTAAACAGAGCAGAAGATGTCAAAAATTGTAGCTTAAATCATTCAATATTTTAAATCCTTTTATTATTAAATAAAAAATTTCAAATTTGAATTAATTTTTTTTTTTGAGAAAAAGAAAAGAAGGAATTCAGACTTAAGGAAAAATATTAGACTTGAAGAAAAAAATTCAGCTTTGAAGAAAAAGCCTTAGATTTGAAGAAAAAAAATATCAGACTCGCAGAAAAAGCCTCAGACTTAAAGGAAAAAAAATTCTTTCAAAAAAAAAAAAAAAAAAAAAAAAAAAAAAAAANAAAAAAAAAAAAAAAAAATAAAGAAATATCAGACTTATAGAAAAATGTCTAGACTTTGAAAAAGTTTAGATTTGACACTATGGTGGTTAGTCTGCTACGACTTCGAATATTGAGGGTTGACCTTCAATACGCGCTGCCGGTTCCGAGTTTTTGTTTTCATTTATTTATTTTTTGATTCGGTCAAATATGTAATTAATGCGTGTGTTTGATTCTTATGAGAGGATTGGGCGCATGAATTACTGTCTTCTGGGTTTTTTGTTTACATTTGATGGAGTAGGAAAAGGCTGGAATGCTTATTGGTTTAGGTGGGTGTAGACTTGTTTCTTATTTAACAAACAAGTCTACACCAACAACTAGCAAACAGTATTCTGAATGTTTTGGGTAAGTTTTGCAATTTAAAAAAAAAAATTATTAATGCTGTGAACATTTTACTACTGTTTATTTGGGTACTGTCAATAATAATAAACTGTAAATTTCACCGTATTTCTTTGCAATATTATTTTTTTATCAATTTTTAAATGAAATTAGGCTTAAATCACCCTTGCCTGTGTATAATCTCACCGGTCCTGAACTGGGGTCTCAGGAGGGTTAAGGCGTGAATTAAATTGTGAACAATATATGCATAGAAATAAAATGATAAATCTTACCCTATGTCGCAGATTGTAAGTAAGAAGTAGGTTTCTTGCAAATGAGTTGGCAAATGCATGATAAAAATTAAGCACTTCAAGTAATTTATCTCGCTTAATGGAATGTAAATCACAGTAAGTTAGACCTCGAACATTAGCACAAGATTGTCCAATTGTTGGTTCTTTCCAAAACGCATCACCAAATACATCTCCTTTGCCTGAAATCATAAATAATCTCTGTTTAGACATCGGTGTTCTATGATCCTTAATATGCTTGAGGCATGTCCGGAAAATAAATACCGCTTTATTCTGCCACAATCGCAGTTTCGCCCATGCGCACACGTATTATCTGTCAAGTGGCGCCATTAACAGTCGGATTGTGTTGCGTGTCAGTAAGTGTTCAAAACGTTTAAGACGATTGCCGATCCTGCCGACTGTGAAGTGCGTTCTACAATACAGTTTTCCTCACAGAACATTAAGCTATCTGAAATTTATCGTCAACCTGAAAAAATTTACAGAGAAAATATAATGAGTGGTAAAGATTCAACTTTAGATCCCTCAATGTTCATGATAAAATATGGAGTGAGCAGCAATGGTCAATGATGGTGTAAAAGTGAATGAGAAAATTCGTGAATATAGACACAAACTCCAACAACTATTTTCCATGAGATGGTCACAAACTTTGCAGATGGTCAGATGGTTTTGAGATGGTCACAAACAGTTCAACAGTCTTTGCAGTCTTTCTTTGAAGATTGGCTTCCAGATTCTAAATGTTTAAACAATGTTTGTAATTATGTAGAAAAACAGTTTGTAAAATGTTCTTACATGTAAAAATAAATTTTGTTTAGAAAAAAGCAGCACTATTAAGGCGAATTTTTCCAAAACGGTGTTTGCTTTCCGGACGTGTCTCGAAAGAATGAAGTCAAAAATGTATACAAATTAGGGGCCGTAAAATAACATTTAAGCGATGAAAATATAAAATACGCGTTCAAAAATCATTATTGAGAAAGGCGGAATTGCAGTTAACTAAAACTGTTTACTGCCGAAGGAAATTAGGGGAAGATAAAAAGCGGTTATTAAGAAGTTTTATCAGGCAATCAAATTGGCTTTTTTGTTCTTAATCCCGTTTTGCTCACTTGCGATTCGGCAAATTTCTGCTGCGTTTTGGTTTCATGGTCGCATAAAACTAATTTGCGACAGCTAATGTGTATATTTTATTTCTTCAATAAAGATGCATTGACACATTTTTAAGGCCGGGATAGCCTGGTCGGTAGGGCGCTGGGCCCATATCCAAGAGGTCGTGGGTTCGATCCTCGCCGGCCGAAGACTCCCCATGTAGTAAATGGTGACTGATGCACGTTAAATCTGTCGAGTCTCAAAGTCCTCCATGTTCCCACAACAAATCAATACCTCTGAGGGTACTGATCCAGGAGTTTCCTTGTCTTCTGGATTGGTTCAAAATTACAAGGCTACGGAGTTGAACGTAAGTAGTCGTAAACCCATGAAATTGGGTCGGCTGTTCAACGACGGTTATAAAATAAAATAAAGATGCATTAAAAGAGGTGATTTCAAAACACTCTGTATTATTAAACTACCTATATCAAATCTATCTGGACGAAAAGAGCAGTTTTATAAATATAAAATATACGATATGCATTAACATTTATTTTGGTAAAAATGGAAATTACACAAACTTGAAAATAAATTAAAATAAAAATACTAAATAATACACTACCCAACAAAAAAGGAAGAGACACTTTCAATTTTTAATAATTTTTTTAAAAAATTTCTCAAGAGTTACTAAGAGAATTATTTTGTAACTTTAGAGTTGTTCAGTTTAAGCAATTTTTAAAATTTAGCAATAAAATTGGAAGCTTTCAGAGGCTCGAGGAACCGACAATAAATTACTAAAGAAAACAAGTTTTTTTTACACTCTATGTTAGAAAATCAAGTAAGAAGATTGTAAACTTGGATCAATTAGTTTGGTTGTTATTTTCAATAATTGTATGAAATTTCGTAAGCCTAGCCTAAAAAAGTTTTGGAGTTATGGACTGTTTTACAAAATACTAGTTTTTTTGTCTTACGTCTTTTGCTATAACTTTAAAAATATTCAATAAAATTAAACGAAATTTGGGGAGCAATTTAAAATTAATTACAACAACAATGTTTAAAAATTTTTAAAAAATTGTTAAAAACTGCGTAAGATACGAATATTTAAAGTAGCTTTTTAATACTGCGCAGCGCTGAAAAAATATAAAAAAAGCATTTTCTATAATTTTGTATTGAATCGAATTTGAAAACTAATGAAAAATATATGATTTGAATATCTTAAAAATTTATGAAGTTTCAATCATTTTTCGAAGTTGTTTTTGTACTTATTAAAAGAAAGCTCAAAATGATCAGGGGCTTTACACAAGTTTTATTTTATTCTTGCTGTCTGGTAGTAGAGTTTGCAATAATACGAAATTAACTTTGTGGGAAACGACTGATCAGTTTGACATTTCCTTTAAGAAATACAAAAACTACTTGAAAAATTGATTGAAACTTTTTATATTTTTTCGATACTCCAGGCAGATTTTCTTCATTAGTTGCTAAATACAATTCAGTCAAAATTATGAAATATTCTTTTTAATTTTTTCCCCGCACTTGCGCAGTGATCATATGTTGATATTGAATACCTTACTACCAGAGTTGGTCATCGATTACAGTAATCGATTACAACTGTAATTGATTACAGATAATTACAGCTATGTAATCAATTACTTGTAATCACGATTAAAAGTAATCAAAATTTTTGATTACATCAGAGTAGAGCGAAACTGTAATCGAATACATTTTTCAATTACAGTAATCAATTACTTGCAATCATGATTACGAAGTTTGATTACAGCTGTAATCATGATTACATAGTCGATTGCAGTAATCAATTACTTGTAATCGCGATTACAACTTTAAAAAAATTTTGATTACAGCTGTAATCATGATTCCAAACAATTGCGATTACAAGTAATCACAACAAAAACGATTAAGGGTAATTATGATTGCAAGTTATCAAAACATATGATTACATGTAATCATGATTACATGTAATTTGATTACATGTAATTGTGATTACTTGTAATAAAACTATACGATTACAAGTTCTTACGATTGTGTACTATATGCAAATTCATTATGTAAGTATGTATGAGTTTACATATTTTTATGTACATAGAATGTACGCACGCATGAACGTACAATTTGTGATTCCTACAATGTATGCACAAACGTTGTTTGTACGTGCAATATACATAATTATGTTGTAATGTACTTAATGTAGTACGTATATGCTTAGTACATATAATTATGCATTCATGATACATGTACGCATGTATGTTAGTTTGCACGAAAATGCAATGTTTTGTATCTTTGTATACATGGACAATATATGTATGAACATAAATGAAAGTAATGTTCATACGTTTGCATGCTTTTATGAACTTAACTACATACATTTTATAAATTTACGATAATATCGCGTATATACAATGTACGTATATATATAAAATTGTACGTATTTACGTACAATATGTAAGAATGTTGTTTAAAGGTACAATATATGCACATAGCTGTGTAAATAAAATGCCTACATGTATGCATGTACATGTACATTTATATGTACATCGATATATGTACACGCAAAGTATGTACTTATGTACACGTACGTATGTACTTGCATAACTACATACTTTGTTAATACATATGCGCATGTAATGTATGGATGTACAAAAAAATAGTTACATGCTCAATGTGCGTATGTACATACAACAAATACATGTACAAAATTGCAAGTAATGTATAAATACATGCTTACATTTAAATATATGTAATTGCAATATACACATACATTGTGCATACACCAAAATAATTTATATAAGTAAAGTTATTAAAGTTTGTTTTAAAATTTATTCTAAGGCATATAAAACTCGACCTCATATTTTTAGAAAGCAAACGATAATTCTATTTTAAATTTCTAAATATTATTTCCACACATAAAATTTACCGTTTTTTTTTTGCCTTTTAAAAACTTTCTATGAACCATGCATTATGTTATAAAAAAAAAATCAGTATTGTCAAACATTTCATAAAAAAACCTGAAAATAATTTTTTATTCAAAGAATTTTAAAATGATATAGAACAATTAAAGCAGAAAACTAAATTTAAATATCGTTTGATTTTGTCATTTAACTTGCTTGAATCATTATAAGTTAACTTACATGTACGTATGTACGTATGTACAATGCATGTACATACATTCATGCATTCTACATGCATATATAGTACATATAGATATGCATACATGGAACATACGTGCATTGTACATGTGTGTATACATTCATTGGACATATATATACATTGCACCATATGCATAGATTGGGATAGCATGCATGTGCACATGTAAAATTTGTACGAAAGAATTATGTCCAATATATTTACTCACATATGTACTGTATATGTACATTATATGAACATTATATGTTCACTTCATCATATGTACTTTATATAAATATACATCTGTACACTATATGTATATACATCTCAAATGTGTGTATGTACATACGTTATGCATGTCGAATATATGTATGAATATATGTAAAATATAAATACGCCCATTGTACGTATAATCGTACACAAATGTATTATGCATATTTGGATACATTGAGCACGAACATATTGTGTATATGTACATCCATACATTGGATATGCATATCATGTACATGTATACATACATATATTGTACATACTACATATATTGTACGTACTACATGAATACCTATATTGTACATGCATACATATATTATACTGTTCATAAATAAATTGCACATGCATGCATGGGATATACATTGTACAGACAATGTATGTATGTTTGTACTAACAACAAGTACTTGTATATACATGCGTACATGAACATAGATATACATTTTACATACACAAATATTTGCATAAAATGCATATATTCATTGTGTATAAATGTACATGTCTACATTGTTTGCACATACACACGTAATTATTAGCTATATACATACGTATATACATTTTATACTTACAATATAAGTGTATATACATGTGTGTGAAACTAAAATGTCTGTACATATGCACTAGATAAAATCATCTGTACATTCATTTGTACGTATACAAATACGTGTAAATACGTGCAAAATGTATCATTATAAAATACATTATAATATCTACTGTAAAATATAATCATTTGTAAGAATACAATAGTCTTGTAATCGTGTATTTAGATTACATGTAATCATAATTACATATAATCAAATTACATGTAATCATGATTATATGTAACCATATATTTAGATTACTTGTAATCATAATTACCCGTAATCGTTTTTGTTGTGATTACTTGTAATCGCAATTACTTGGAATCATGATTACAGTTGTAATCAAAATTTTGATTACAGCTTTAATCAAGATTACAAGTAATTGGTTACTGTAATCAATATTGTAATCATGATTGCAGCTGTAATCAAAATTTTTTGAAAGTTGTAATCACGATTCCTAGTAATTGATTACTGTAATCGATTATGTAATCATGATTACAGTTGTAATCAAAATTGAATCATGATTACAAGTAACTGATACTAGTTATAATCTTATTGCTTATTTTCTGGCATTGGATGTTAAAAAATGCTTGTTAATTTTTAATTTCGTAGCAAAGTTCCATCTTTTAGTAGAAATTCAATCCTCAAATTCTTATCACTCGATTACTACAGTAAAATTCAAAGTTAAAGCGAAAAGAAGAGGGGAGTGTAGCGGCTTGCATAAGTTAGCACTGGAAGTGATTTATAATATGCTGACAAGGATTTTGTAAAAATTTCACAAATTTACTTTTCTAAAATTTGAATATCTTTTTATTATTCTTTACTTTTTTGAAAACATAAATCATCACTTTAAGAGAAAGCTAGGCACAAATGAATTCATTTAAAAAACTGTCAATTTTTTCCATTTATTTTTTAACATATCGTCAGTGAACATTTTAGTCTAGACACAGCTCAAAGTGCGTGTTTGAGAAAATAGACATAGTGCCTTTAAAAAAATGGATACAGCTCGAAATTTTGAGTTTTGAGCTGTGACCGTTTTCTAAAACATGCATTTTGAGTTGTGTCCTTTTTTAAACACGCAGTTTGAACTGTGTCCATTTTCCTAAACACGCATTTTGAGCTGTGTTCAGTTTTTTAACACGTTCTCTGCAGCTGAGTACAGGTGGTTATGCTAAATCTATCATTGAAAGTGGCAATCGATAAATATGAAATCTAAGCTAATTTTTTTTTATTTTAGCTTTTAGAATTCACAATTAGTTTGTTTTAATAAACAATATGTTATTGACGGGTGAAAATTTCCTACTTTTTGTAAAAATAGTTGAATGATAATATACATTTTGCTATCAATTGATCTGTTTTGTCGACACTAACTGCTAAGCTGAATTTTGTCTCGTGCTGGCGCGGAATCGGCAGTGAAAAAGTTAAACACCTATTTCTAGCTGAATAAAAATGACGGTATGTTTTACTATACCTAATATTGCTACTACTTCATCATCTTGAATAACTTCTAATGATCCTGTGACTACGAAACATAGTGTATCAATACTTTCTCCTGTATGATATAATAAATCTCCAGGAGCTGAATGTTCCATTGTAAAATACATAGCTAAAGCTCTTAAACATCCATCACTGGCTAAACGAAAAGCTGGATGCTCGTTAAATACTTTTCGATTCAGGTGTACGCAGATGTCAGCTGTCATGTCTTTTGGACAATAGCTCAAAACCTGAAATACAAATCATTCTCAAATCAATTTTAAATAATTACACGCTGTTAATAATAAATCGCTCTCAGTATGCAGAGTATCCCGTAAATTTGTAGGAGAGGTATGGCAAATTTTCAAGATTATTTATTGCATAAGAGAGGAATTTCCTATCCAATGAAATTTCCTTTCCTATCCTACAATTCTACTGCGTAGCTAGGGGCACATCCCTAAAATGGATTACACTGGCGTGCCTTTAAACCGGTACTTTTATTTATCAAAAATATCTTAATTTTGCGTTAATTTTATGTATACTGATAATTATTGACAGAAATTGCATTCAAATAGGATCAAAAATATCTGTTTTATCGTAATTTAATGATTTGTCTTTCCAAATTATTAAATTACGATGACACAACTATTTCTGAGTCTATTTAAATGCAATTTACGAAAATAATTATCAGAAAACATAAAATTAAGATATTTTAGAAAAAAAAAGGATCTGTTCATAGGAACCCGAAAAATAACTTAATAATAGTAAAGCACCCCTTGTATAGATAGATGACATTTCTATGCAATTCATAATTCTTATAATGCGCCCTTGAAGTTTGTCGCTATACACAATGCATATATTTTTTAAATATTTGTCAAAAATGAAATAAAAAGTGCATACGCCTCACAAAATAATATTTAAATAAATAAAGAAGTTGAAATCTAACGAAATACTATTAAGGAAGGCGGGGCTTAAAATCTCAACCCGTTAAATTGTCGAGAGAGGGTTGGAAAGAAAATATTTAAAAACTCTTCCAAGTTTCGCCAGACAATGAAATTGATTTTGATGTAATAAATTTGTCTTCTCCACTAATAATTCGACAGATTTTGATACATTTTTTAGATTTTCGTCAATAAAATAGAAATTTGTGATCCCTCAAGTGTCCACTTTTTGGCAATTTTTCTAATAATATATAAAGATAAAATATTTAAACTCATTATTATTATATATACGTAGTACGTATATTAATATATTAATATATATACGTTATTAATATATATACGATAAAATATTTAAATAATGTAAGGAATACGGAAGTGATGTTCTACTTTCGACTGTTTTACGTTCCGTTAGGTAGCTTTTACTAAGATATTCGCAATAATCATTCTTGGGAATATTTCTCAAGAATGAAGGGATCGAACAGTAAATTTTAAGAGAGGAGACAAAGTCAAACGTTATAAAAATTCAATTAATCACTAATATTTTTTAAAATTTTTAACAAGAATTTTAGAAATGCATATTAAAGTTAGTCATTGCAAGACATCCTGTAGAAGCAACTTAATGAGAAAAAAATAAGTAGAAAATTCGAAATTCGAACAATAATTTTATTTTTGAACAAAATTTTATTCATTCGTTGAAAATGTTAGAATAGCACAATAAAAATGTACTAAACAGCAAATTTTTTCCTGCCTCAAATTTATATTCTCTTAACGGCTAATTTCAAACTCTTTTTTTATTAACTAAAATTTTCTTATTTTTTCGCTCTAAAAAATTGCTAATTCTTTTTCCAGAAATCTTTGGAAAATTTGTGTGTGCAATTATGTGCATTTGTCAAATATTCTAAACGATTTATAATGCAGACCTCAAACTTTATATATGCCTACAAGATTTTTCATAAATTTTTAACATTGCCAATATATATATTACACTGGCGTGCCTTNGTAATGCCAGTGAATCTACTGTGAATTATATTATATATGTTACGGCCAAAGCCCGAATTCGGCCACTTCGCGAATTGGCCGGCGAGATCGCGAAGTGGCATAGGATGGCTGACCAATGTCCGATCCTTTCTTGATTTTGGGAATTGGCCGGCCAGATCGCGAAGTGGCATGGGAGGATCAGCCAAAGTTGGCAGAAAAAATATATTTGGCACGTATTATTGGCTCTGTATAACCATAACTTCATTCTTTAAAAATTACTAGCGGCGGTACCCGCACTAACTGCGGTGGGATGTGGCAATTTGAGACAAAGTAAAAAATTTAATTTTTAAAATTTTAATTTAAAAACTTGTCTATTTCTTATATTTTTAAATTAGAAGATTTATACTTTAGAGAATAATTATAATTAGAAGATTTATATTTATAGAAGCACAAATGTCGCCACGTGGCACATTCCCGCCGGAATTGCAGATGCGCCGCCTACCGGGCATTCTTGAATGAGCACATCGCGTTTTGGCCGGAACATCGCTGCCACTTCGCGAAATGGCCGGCCAAAGTAGAATATTCACTGATCGTTTCAATTCCCTCTCACTTTGGCCGAGAGGTATGGCCAAAGTGCAAAATGGCTGGACTTAACATATATATACATTTTTTTTACAAGATTAAGTATTTTTTTCTGTTGGCAATAAAAACAATTAGTTCCCGTTAAGCAAAACAGTTAGTTGTTTAGCTTCCCAACTAAGTTTTTATTTTCCCCCAACGGGCATCTTTAATGCTTTTACGTAATATGAAGTATTTTTATGTTCTTTTAATGCATAATTTATTTATAATTAGCGACGATTTTAATATAAATATAAAAGTTGAAAAAGGAGAAGAATTTTGTGACTTCTTGAGAAACGCTTGTTGGCTGGAATTGAAATTGAATCCAGCTCATTGAATGACAACTGGATAAGCATAAATTGATGCAGTTCTTTCAACCCATAAATTGAAATGATGAAGTGTTTATGAAAGTCTATCCAAAAAAAAAAAAAAAAAAAAAAAATGACCAATGGATAACCAGTGAGTGCAATCACAATTTCCTCTTCTTTTATAAATGTATTATTTTATAATTTTTCATTATATTATTGTTTTCGAATAGTTATTTAAATTGTGTTCTAATAAAAATATGAAAAGTATATACACTGCTCCAAACAATTAAAGGATATTGTAAGTCTTGTATAATATAATGGTATAAGCAAATTTTTTTCTTCATAAAGTGGAATAAGAAATTAAAATTTTCCCTATTTTCTAACTTCGCATTATGCAAATTTTGAGTTTGACGTCGAAAATGACGCTTCAGCAGCCGCGAATCTGGTTTGTCTTTCAACTTATATAAGACAAAGCGGAAAAGAACGACCGACATTCAGTAAGCGCGTTGTTTCGATGAGTGCGATGTCTCAACGAAGTCATTTAACCGAATCAGAAGCTTGGAGAGTTGTTAGCCGGTTCTTCTATACCCAAATGCTTAATAAAAGGTTTTTTTTTTTTTTTTTTTTTTTTTTTTTTTTTTTTTTTTTTTTGCCGAACAAATGCCATTTTTATCTCATATAGCCTACTACGTCTGTCGATAATGCATCAATCATTCAAATAATTCTCCAGGTGCAATATCAACTCACGACCTCAACATCCTTTTATTGTTTTGAGCAGTTTAATTGTTTTTAAGTAAATGTCCAATTTCTCTCATTACATTGGCAATGTGGCATTATTTGACGAGTTTGCAAACAATTATAAAACTGGACCAAAAAGATATTGGAGAATCTCATTCGTATGATCGCATGAGAGAAGATAAAAATAAAGTAGTTAAATGAACAAACGAACAAGAGACATCGGTGATTTCAAGAAAGATCCTTAATAGAAGATTTTGAAAGATCTTTTATGATAATAGGGAAAAACATTGAAATCGCGTGCTTGATATGTAACCTATCAAAATTCATTTTCAAATTTTCCTAAATCAATAATATCATCCATGGGTTAAACAAGTATTAAAAAGAAAATTCGTCTAGTCACGCCATTCTCAACTTGTTGGTCTGGCAAAAAATCTTTGGCATAGCTGGTTAAGAGCTTTTCATCGCAAATTCGATTTCACCTGCGAAACTAATTTAAAATTTAAGATATAGAAAAAGTGAGTTGAGGTTAGCCTAGAGTGAGCCATGAAGTTCCAAATGCTAAAAAAGAAGTTTTCAAAATATCAAAAAGTAAACAAATTATGGAAGGATTACGCAATGGCCTCTAACAATTTATTTGCATTTTTAAAATATTTTTTCCGTGATTGAAACGACATCGTTTTCTTCAAAGTTTACCCGAACTCACTTTTCACTAAATTTCAAAAGAGCAATGGTGGTGAAAAAGAATTTGCCATGAAAGGCTTCTACCGTAGTATATCGTATTCTTAATATTTGGACCCATAAGAAAGTGGGAGAATTCCAAAACAAAGCAGCAGAGAGAAAAATGGATCGAATATCAAACTTGTATTATTTATTGGTTCCTAGAATCCTCAAAGTATTTAGATCATTATTTATGTGAGAGCTCATCATACCCACATTAAAGACCTTCATTAATACTTTTTCATCTCAGTTTGTTTAATACATAAATTATATATTTCTTTAAACATTTCGAATTAAATTTATATCATTTGGTCTGGCTGTTTTTAATTTTATTTCATTATACTTTAAGAAAATTTTATCTTTTCCTCTTTCCGCCAATTACCCTATTAAAAAAAATAAAATAGCGTTAGTATTTATGTAAAAAATGATGCTGAGCATCTTATTAACTACTTTATTACCATAATATAGTATAGGTCGACAATTATTGTAACATATAAAAGAAACAGTCATAGCTTTTGAAATGAGGGAGAGATTCAATTAAAACATCAAAAGTGAATGCTCGACATAATGGAATCTTTTTGAGCATGAACAGTTTTATTTTTGTTGTATGCAGCGCTGAAATGCAGCGATTATAAATGCATATAGGTATAGCTCATTCACCAGCAGTGGGCACTTAGCTCCACCTTCATTACTTGATATGCGACGATACTATTTCGCTATTTTCGGGAGAAGGTTACGAGCAATCCTGAACAAGGTTGCTATTTGGCGATCGTTTCACAAGAATATTTATTTCGAAAACTTTACCTGCATTTTTTTAACATTAAATATTTAATAAATTTGATGATATTTCGCGCCATTTTTTATGATATTTTTCTCTTTTGAGTGAATAGTTTGTCCTTTTTGAGGCATTTTGCTGGGAAAACAGTTTTTAAATTTAAAATATATTTAACGAAAGGTATAATAGCAGATGATAAAGCGAAGTAAGTAACTGAAAAAGAAGTCACTGCTTGTGTTTGGCGCACATAAAGGGTTATCCCAATTTCAAGAGCGGAGATGTTTCTCTTCTTACTCCCGCGCTGAAATGAACTCTGCGCTCGAGGAGGTGGAGCCAAGTGCCAACTCCTGGTGAACGAACTATACCCATGTGCTACTGAAGTAGGAATCGCTTGACTGCCCTATTTTCCTGGTCTCAACTCTCGTAATTTATTTATGTTAAATAATATTTAAAAAAAACTGTTTACAAACAATTATTCTGCTCAAAGCTGATAGTTACTTTGTTTTTATAAGAATCGAAAGTTCAGAATTCATTCTACTCATATGTGCCATATCATACCATTGATGTCAAGAAACTAAATCCGAAGTTGTGAAGAGCTATTAAAAGTTTTTAACATTAGCAGCTTTTGGATTTTGTTTAAATTTTATATTACTCATTATTTGACAACCTGTAAACTCTACAGGATGTCCAAAACTAGGCTTACGATTTTTAAAAATTTATAACGAGAAAAATGCAAAAAAGAAAAAACTGTTTCTGCAGCATTTCAATTTTTTTTAAAATTTTTCAATTTTTTTCAATTTTTTCGCCATTGCTTCTTACTGATCATGAGGGAAGTTCTTTCCATAGACAGACTATAGGAACTTAACCTAAAAAACGGTAAAAGGAACTTACAGTGAATCCCTTGGAAAAAATTTGAAGCATACTCAGAAGCTCTTGGAAGTAAAAAATTATGCCTTGTTTCCTTACCTTAAGAGTTTTTTTTTTAAAAAATCATTTTTGAAAACCAAGAGTATAAGTTAGGACAACTTGCATGTCCTAGATAAAAGAAGAAGAATATTTTGTGCAGGCTGGAGTTAAACGTACCTTACTCGTATCAATTCCTTTTGTCATGGCCCATGTTGATACAACATAGTCCATAACTCGTTCACTAAGTGCTTTGGGAACTTCATGCAATTTCATAAACTCTCGTACATTATTTAGCATTTCATGATAGCGGGCAGTTGCTGACGTCATTTGCTGAATTATAGTAGTGACATGACCAAAAATGGTGGCGTACAATAAAGCTGAAATAGAAAATAGTATCGAACTTTTATTATCCCGAATTAATAACCATAAGAGAATCAAAAATAGAATAAATCAGTTGATGAGCAGTAAATTGGACCAAAAAAGTGGAAGTATTTTTAATTATTTGGTAAAGCGGAAAAGTTGCCAACTATTATTATCTAGAAATGTAAAAAATTCTATAACTGTGAGTTTATATCTTCATCCACCTTAAAAGGAAAACCACTTTATGTATATATAATATTATATTAGGGGGACTGGAAAGTAATGTCGCTTCAGAGCCTTAAATATTCGTTAGTCTTAAAAACCAATTCATTTTCTTCGATCCATTTCGATTCATTTTTGAACCAGCATTGAAAGGTTGTTGCTAACATGGGAGAATACATTATTGATTAAAAATAAATATAAACAAATAGCAAATACACCGAAA